AATAAAATCAAATTTGAGGAAAGTGAACTAGGATGTAAGGAAAATTAAAAAAGTTTCAAGATTCAAGTAATATTTTACATATTGTATGTGATTAATGATTGATTTTTTCAGTATTTACAACTATATTTCTACTCCGTTACTAACGCGGTAAAGGCTATTTATACAAATTTTGACTACCTTTTGGTAATTTACATGGTTTGTAAGTGACATTGATTATGTGTTAATTGCTTCCTTTTGGTTTCGTCACAATGCTACACATTAAATACATTTTCAAAACATTCATGAATATTAGCATGAATCTGGAGGCGTGCTGCTTTAAAGGCACGGTGATATATGATGTAACTTGCTAAGAAAATGATTTTTGATAAAAAAAATAGAGGTATATTAAGATACATGTATACCGCAATATCTGCGACACCGGATTAATTTTTTCCCTGATATAAGCGCGTTTTGACGGTTTTTTGCCCCCCCCCCACCCCTTTTTGAGGCATCAAACAGTGAAAAAATGCCCTATTTAGGCCCCAAAAACTGTTTGTCGTTAGAGGAATGTTGTTAAAAAAGTGACCACTTTTTCGGCGCGGCCCCCGATCAAAATGATACATCAGGGGGTTGCCAGAAGGGGGATGCGCCCCCTTCTGTATGAGCGTTTTGAACGGGGGCGGTAGTCTCCCTCATCGCCAAGAAAATTTTTGACATGTGACAGGCTAAAAATGGCTTCAGGTCGATCTTAAGGTGACATGTAGCCAACGCTGAAAAGTCTTTTACTCTATCTCATTGCATTCAGAAGTTGCAGCACTTTGGAATCAGTTTTGATGGCAAAAAACAATGCAAAATCAATACGTTTAACTCACCCTTTCCTTTATATAAAAACAGTAATAGCAAAACATCTAACGCATTGACCATATATTTTATTATAGGTATTTTTTCCTTCATGATTTCGATGCATATTTAATAAAATTGTAACAAAATTCACCGTGTTGAACTGTTCTATTTCACAATTGTTATTGCGATATCGCGTGTTATAACAGATGTGTACGTCAAATCGGAGAATAATTAATAGTAGAATATTCAGCTCAGGTTATAAAAAGGCATACGTCTACTGAACAATACAAAATTCCAACGTAGAAAATCGAATAGAATCCATCAATACAGACCGTTCGATTTGTAAAAAAGATGCAATTTCGCCGCGCATATAGGTGGCGCTCTGACGTCTTAAGTTGGATGTTTAGAAAGAACGTAGACTTTCTTAATAAAATCCAAACGCAACACAGGACAATTAAAGAATTTACTTTCTCTTACGTGTTTTGAATATGAACCTCATCGATAGCTACCATAAAACATATTAATATGATTGTAGATGGCCAGGACACACGGCTTACATATACCATAGTAACAGCAACCAAGGGCAACACAAAATTTACAGATGCTTATTCAACAATAAATGCGACTAATTACATTTTGCGTTGGTAATTTCTTTAATTCTGCAAAATAAGTTGACGTTTAAATGACTTTAAAATGACTCTAAATGTTTACATACCAAAAATCAAGGTCTGAAATGTTGTCAAATTTTGGTCGGAAAGTAGCGAGCTACCTTTATTAATGTTTCCATGGTAAAAGGGTTCAATTTATTTTATATTTCATAAATGAAGATAAGGTTTTATATTAACTTAATAGCTTTTTTGTTCATTAGCATCTTACATTTAAGAACAAAACTCAGTTTTAGTGAACTCATGTCATCATAAGAAGTTTTTCTTGATTCTTTAAATGTAATATGTCATCTCTTTATTGTTTGTGTAGTTTAGTATCAGTTTGAATAATATCTTTTTACAAAAATGGTTATCACTTGTTCAAAGTATTTTTTGCATTGTTATATAACATCACTTTTCCACCACGTATGTAAAGATGTTTTATTGAAATATTTATTTTAGTGAAAAAGATAATCAAAACAGCCTGTGTCTTATCAATGTTATTAAGTTACAATGTTCCCATCACGATAATTAATCCAGAAACGTTAACTGAAATAAATATCGACAAGTGGTTTTATAACATATATTTATAATGACAGACATACATTGTAATCATTATTATGCAATTTATCAAATTTTAAGAAATGTCGCAATTCGAAAACAGCCGTTTATGTACGGTTATATCACCCGTCAGAAATCTTTATGAATAATAATATAAAGATCAAACTCCGGATGTTTGTGTCCGCTCTAGCTTCTTTGACATACCGTTCCACTTATCTACTAATAAAAAGGTTAAAACCATAATTTTCTTGATTGAAGTGTTAAGCGTAAATGCACAAGACAAAGTCAATACTAAATCATTAGAGTTGTTGCCGGAGGCTGGTCTAAAATCAGTTTGACGTCCTGTAAAATAAAGGATTTAACTCAATACAAGACTGGAGCAATACCTCTAAACCCTTGCAGAAATCATGATCATAACACATGTTTTATATTTTGGAGCTTGTGAGACGAACCTTAATTGACGTCAGTATGGGAGCCGCCATTTTGAAATGTTACAACGTCAATATTTTGACTATATTTTTTTAAAAAGAAGGATAACATGCCTAGAGATATTGACGTCAGGGTTAACATGACATTAATTTAAATGATTTTACTACTTTATTTACTAGAAATGAAATATTAAAATTTGGTTGAACAGACGAAATTTAAATTTCTCAGATATTATTAGTTCTGTTTCTTAATTTTTCCTCCCAAAAACATATTATACTGCGTTCAGATCTCATTACATTTTCTTGTGCACAGTTTATTTTAGTGAGAACTTGCTGAGTTTATTTTACACAAGATCTGAGTTTTAAATTTTGTACAAAATAACGAGAATACTATCGGAACATAATAGGTACCCTTAGTTTATGATGTTCAATAGATGTCTAATATATTATATGAAAACTGATGTGTTTAATTGATATAATGATTATAATTTTAATATTCTCATATTAATCAAGTACATATATGTATTTATAAAAATCATTGCCTACCGATTCCCTATATGTTGGTGGTAGAAACTGAGTTCACTTACCGAAACACGACAGAAATGCTTAGAAACACTTACATTTCTATATGACTTTGCATGGAAAACTTAAATATGCAATTTTACCGGTTTTTCTTCGGCCGAGTATATTCTTAAAGGAACTTCTTGCTTATTTATATGTTATATAGAAATAGAATCAATTAAAAAAACTAAATTTGTGCACATTCTGATATGCGTCACTTTTAATCCTTGACTACATATAAAATAGTAGTTTTAAGCTTGTGACGCACTTCCATGTCCCGACCTCGGGGCTTTAAGCCTTCGATCTACTTTAAAATATCTGTCATATTTTGCGGTTCGGATCGGAATATCCGTCCCGAGGTGACCCGCCCATGGGTCACAATGAGTCTAATATGCAAGAATATAAAGTCCTGAACCATATCTTAACCCATTCGCTGCCAAAGGGATAGCTTATGCCGTCCCTATTATTTCGTTGTAGTTGCCATATGGACAGCTTTTGCCGTTTCTATAATAATAATAATAATAATAATAATAATAATAATAATAATAATAATAAATTAATAATAATAATAATAATAATTATTATAACAAATATAAACAAAATTATACCATCGACAATAATTATTTTTATACTAACAGATTTGGAAACATATATAATTATTATAATACTAATAACAAATAATAATAATCATATTTAATTTAATTGATAATATAGTAATTTCTTCCATTTAATAATAAACCTCAATTTATTCATGTTCTCATATACATTTTGAGAAAGTACCTGTCACATTCGAATGTATAGTTGATGGAGCTAGCAAGGAAATCGGATAATCGATCTTTAAGGTAATGAATCTGAATGAAGTCATTTTCACACTAATACAAGCGGACACAGGGTCCGACACTCGGAGTATGCCACTACTACCGGTTTTGTGGAGTTAGGCCTTGGGCTCACAGAAGCCAGTTGTAGATTCCGATATATCACAATGATTATTCCCAGTTGATTTTGGGCTAATCGCCATAATTCACTAATATACACCTCAATGACACACTTCTGCATGGGGACAAAGGGTCTGACATTCTCATCACGTAACGATATCCAGTTCTGCGGAAATGAGTCATTGGCCCTTTGAAGACAAATGAAATTCGGATTTTCAACTTAAGTGGCTATTTGCAGTTGATTTCTGCTAAAAGTCGCAAAACACCAAAACGATTATTTCGGACTTAAGGTCCGACATTCTTAGTATCCAACATATCCGTTTTCGAGGAACATGCTTAGGGCAGACCGGAGCCAACTTGAATTATTTCCATGCCTTGTAGTCAGTCTTTACTTCTATTAATAAAAGTCTGAAATTTGGTATTTCTAGTCATCAAAAAGGCCCAGAAATTAAACCTATAAGTGATAATTTTATGGAAGGACCTTGTAATCTTTTGCAATGGTTGGACTGTATTCTTTCCGACTAGACCCTTGAAATGTTTGTATAACTTATGGTTCAAACCGTTTGAAATTATGCTTAGATAACGATGATAAATTGCGTTATTATTTTATGTATTAAAATTAAAATGTTATCAAATATACATTAAAATGTTTAATGATTATATATTGCAATTATTTTAAATATACATTAAAATGTTATTAAACTGAACTATAAATGAGGATAGCTTGTAGAGCTGGTATCTGATTCTGGCTAGCCGTAATATTTAGAAACGAATTATGCCTATATGGACCAGCTTGAGTATGCTCCAGCTGTTCCGGCACTGTGTCTAAATTCATGAACTTTAAAACTTTTGTGAGATTTTAATATTTAAAGGTGATGTCTACACTTTAACTTAATGTAAAGTATTATCTTAATCTCGTGCTTATGATGTTATATATATGTACTGAAAGATACAAATATAAGGACTTTGATAGTGTTTATTAAAATCAATTTTAACTATCCGATCTGTTGCTTGTACAGTAAACACTTAATTAATGTATTGAGTTTTACCTTGAACATATATAGTATACGTTGCCTCTTCCCTGCCAGTTGTAGTAAATCCTATAAGACATCTCCATGTATCACCATCATAAGCACGTGTTATATTTTTGATTGTCCATAAAAGTTGTTTATTTGTAGGACAGGTGTAACTGTACAGTGTTGGATCTGGTTGTTTAGCAAAAACAGAACAATCTGCCAGCAAGGATCCTGCTATACCTGCTACTGACGCCGAAGTCAGTGTGTATGTCTGAACAGTTAGATATCCAACATAAGAACATGTCAGAATCAACGGAGTATTCTCAGCAACGTTTTGTGTGGATGGTATCAATGTCACGTCCGCATTTATGAAGGTAGAATCTTAGATAAAAAAGACAGATCGTAAGGAAATAGATTTTCAGTTTTGACATAACATCTTTATACTTTACGCAATTATAAAAAAAATGAAATATGAAATAAATCAACTGCATTAAAATATATATTATTTCAACATTTTAAGCTGCACTCCAATACTCCATCAGAATATTTATACACGTTTATCATATACAATATACATTTTTTTGATTATTCACTTTCTCATTTTTTGTTTTGCCTATTTTGAATTTATGTAACAATGAAACAAGATCAGATTCTAAATCACAAAAGTTACCTATAAACCAAGTCTTAAATATTCAATATAAGTTTTCTGAAATAATATCCAAAACTCAATGGCACATTCAAATAATAACACACTGACATATTTTCAACATGAATAAAGTAGGACAGGTTTTTTTGCCTCTTAAAGACAATACTTATATCTATAACATCACAGAGTAATTTATTTTTGCAAGAAAGTCGAAAATAATATTTGTTTATGATTATAGACACACCGACACTTGATATAAATGTTATTTAAACTCACACTAAAAGTAAACTCATATCAAATATGTCAGTACCTGTTATGACGGTTATGATAATTCCAAAAAGAAATTGAACTAAATTGTATTTTAAAACACACATTTTAGAGTAAATATTCCAGAACAAATGCTTAATTAACTTAATTGAATCATCGTTTATTTGACTACAACGGGCTAGTCATACTTAGAACGATTCGATATTTATACTGGCAGGTTTATGTGATTACAATTACTTGTATTTGATGTTGTATTAAGTGAACTTCCTGGTAAGAACAGATTTTGTTTTTGCGCAATACATACCGTAAACATATACAAATCTTGATTATTTGTTGGTTGGAAAAAGGAAGATAAAATATGTAGATTATAACTATCTTTTATTCACAATTACAATAAGAAAGCTGCCAATGAATCGAAACAAAAATCTTTTAAAGCTCTACTCTGATTTTATTGGCCAGTCAATTATGAATATATTATAGCACCCTTTAAACACCCAACTTCGGTTGTGTCCGTGTAGTTTACGATGAATAAAATGGAGTACAGTCAGGGGTGTAACTTAAAGCAGTTATCATTTTTATAACTGAATTAAGTGACATATTTAAGATCTACAGGTTGCTTCCCTTTGTCTATCTGGATAATTGGTTATCCCTTTAAGATTATTCTAAAAATAGGTTACAAGGGCACTAAATCAATCTTCATTTTATTGATCTTATGTCCTGATAAGCTCCCTTTTATTTTGAGAATAAGAGCGGCTTATATTAAAAACTGAAGTTCAGAGAACAGGGTTAGGGTTCTTAGTACATGAAATAATATTTGATGTCACAGGCATATTAGGGGGCGGCAGGGCATGCCCCCTCAGAAAATTTTGTAATACTGCACTGCATTTCTTGAATTTTGAGCACTGGCTTTTGGTGTCTTTCATTGAGTGTTCAAGTAGTAATTTTTCACATTTTTTGTTATACAAATAAAAGAAAAAAGTTAGATATAACTAGTATTAAGCACTAAGTACTTTTGATCATTAATTACCAAAATTATAATCAATAAATCAAAATGATCATAATTTTTCATCTAGCTTTGACTTACGTTTTAATATAACTTTCACGTTTAATCATTAAATCTATTTTTATTTAAAAGAAAAGATCGCTGAACTGAAGCAAGAGTTCGCTCCATTTTGATTTTTTGACAATTTGTGTCTTCAATTCAAACAAATTTAATGGTGATGTTGCACATCAAAGACGCCGAACAATCAACGGTTATGTACAAAATCAGCCTTGACAATTGCTTCCTATTTCTGTTGAATATTTTTTTCTTTTTTGTGCTCGTTGTTTAGAAAGTTGCATAGTTTTGTCAAAAAGAAGAACCTAATGCATATATTAAAAAAAATAGTGCCATGTCTGAAAACTTGAAATATTTGTTTATTGCGACAAAAATTGAAAGGTCTGGTCGAAGCAAAATAAATTGAATAACAATTAAAACTGAAATGATTGGTATACTTAAAATAAATTCATGATATCCATTTTGTCGGCATATATAATCCTACAAAACATTAAAAATTAAAGCAATGTTCGTATTGAATTTTAGAACAAACTCCTATTGTGATATTATATATGTAAACTTGGACCTTGTTTTACATGTGACAAAGAAAACCAAGTTCGTGTAGGTTCATCTCCATTTAATCAAACTTTAGATACATCGGTAGTAATGTAATGACAACCTAAAACATATAATATTAATAAGAAAAAGATTCAAACAAGTGAATTACATTACAATGCATTTTATACAGCATTTCAGTCTAATTCCTGCATTCAGATATATGCAATAAATTCACATGACAGCAATTCAACGACATCTTAGAATAATGACCATCTTATGACAAACATAAATCAATACAATAGAATATAAACTTACCAATATATGGTATTGACTGTTTCCCTCACATTACAACAAACCTCCTTTCACACATGTGATATTAGTCTAGATTGCTGCAAAGTTAAAATATCAATAAAGTGTACAGACAGAAATAATGTGCATATTATTTCAAGTTAATTAAATAATGAGTTAATGAATATTACCCAATGTCGCCATTCTAATTTTTCAACATAAGAAATT